AATGAGTGGAGATTATGTGTACTCTGTTGGTTCATCAGGTCAAACAATTAGAGAGAACATTACTGTCCCACTCAAATGTGCGGATGGGCCAGATATAAGCTTCAAACATGCATTCTTGCTCTCAAAAGTCTGTCCCATTAACCTGATGGGCAGGGACTTGATGTGCAAATTAGGCCTTTGTCTGATCTCAACCCCAGAAGGTGTCAAAGTTCACAGACTATCCGATCTGGAGCCACATTTTTCACACTCTTTTGTTCACCACATCCCAGAACTACAATATGCATATCTATGGAAATTGCAACCATCAACTGCCTCTGAGCTTGTTACTTTAGCTAGAAAAACAGTTTTAACAGCTACAATAGATTTCATGACACCAGAGGATCTGCATTGTACCTCTCATGTGTCACCAGGACCTAATGAGCCATATGAGGAAGGTTGGTTGAGAGAGAGATTCGATAAACTCACACTGTCACACATTTATTGGACACAACATAAATGCGCTATATCAGTCTCTCTTACACCAGCTCAATATGAAGTGTACACCATAGACCATTCAGTCCCACACATCACACTTGCAAAACACACATCAGATAATTGGGAAGATTTGGGACCTTTTATAAAATCATGTCAGTGCGCAGCCGATTGGCAAGAAACATCTGATCGATCTATTTTTTTTTCACCAACACTGCAGTGTTACTCTAAGAGTTTACCATTTTTTGTGCACACTCAAAGAACAATCCAGCTGGTACCTAAAAGCACTTTTAAATCTTTTTCCTTTTTGTCCAAAGAACAAGCAACAGCTATTACAGCCCTACAGGAGGTCCTTAAGACACTGTGGGCTGTTAGTAAGTATGATGTTGGCCTCATCAAAGACTGTGAACCTGTTGTCATTACTAACATCACTGTAAAAAGATGCAATGTTTTAAACCCTGCTACTCTCTTTCCCACACCTGACGATGGACAAGAACATAACTGTGTTGCTGTCCTCCAACAGATCTGCTCCCCAAGACCGGATCTACAAGAAACTCCATTAACTAACCCTGATTTGGTTGTTTTTGTAGATGGATCCGCTTCCCGCGACCCAAAAACTGGTCGCAACAGAGTTGGATTTGCTGTTGTCACTAATCATGAAACTCTTGCCTCAGGTTCACTCCCCTCTCACTATTCTGTACAAGCAGCAGAACTCACAGCATTGACAGAGGCATGCAAGCTGGCAAGCAACAAGACTGTAACTATCTACACCGACTCTAGATATGCTTTTGGTGTTGTACATGATTTTGGTACTCTGTGGAAACACAGACAATTCTTAAAATCTGACGGAAAACCCATTCTTCATCATGACAAGGTTGCAGCTCTTCTAGATGCCATTTTGCTCCCAACCTCAATTGCTGTTTGTAAATGCCTTGCCCATACTAACAACTCAGATTCTGTCTCTCTAGGGAACGCAAGAGCTGATACTGCTGCAAAAAGAGCTGCACTCCAACCCACCATCCTTGATCCTTTGTTTGTCTCAACTCCGGTCTCTATTCCAAGTTCTCTTACAGCGATGCAGTCCTTTGCCACACCACAAGAAAAGACGCTGTGGAGACGCTGCGGTGCCACACAGGAAGAAGCAGTGTGGCGGGGACCCGATAACAAACCCTGCCTGCCCAAACATTTCTTTCCTCACTTTGCAAAATTGACACATGGATTGGACCATGTGTCAAAAGGGGGGATGTTGGATGCCTTAACTCAACACTGGTTCACCAAAGGTTTTTCAGTTCATGCGCAGAAGTTTTGTCAATCGTGTATGGTTTGTGCAACACATAACTCAGGTAAAACCAAAACAATCACACACGCCGCACACCCACCACCAGATAGACCATTCGAACATTTGATGATGGATTTCATAGAACTTTCGCCAGCAGAAGGGAAGAAGTACTGCTTGGTGATGGTTGACATGTGGTCAAAATGGGTTGAAGCATTCCCAGCAAGACACCAAAGCAGCCAAGTGGTAGCAAAAGCTCTGTTAACAGAAATTATTCCCAGATGGGGAATACCAACTAAACTGAGCAGCGATAATGGCGCACACTTTTTCAATTCTGCAATAACCCAAATCAGTGATTTTCTTGCCATTGACCTCAGACGACATTGTGCATATCACCCTGCCAGTGGAGGTGCGGTCGAACGAGAAAATGGCACTCTGAAATCCAAACTAGCAAAGTGCTGTGAGGAAACAGGGCTGCCATGGACAAAGGCCCTGCCGATTGTTCTAATGCACATAAGAATGAGAAAAAGATCCAGAGTTAACATGAGCCCCTTTGAAATTCTTTTTGGCAGACCTCCATCTCTAGGAGTGGAGCCTGTAACCAGGCCACTCCCCTCCACTGGCCTATGTGACGATGACATGTTACAATACTGCAAAAACTTATCTTCCACTCTCTCTCAAATCTCTCAGCAGGTGAAATCAGCCCTTCCACTACCAGCTTCCACATTACTTCATGACTTCCAGCCTGGCAACTGGGTGGTGATAAAGGACTTCAGAAGGAAGCACTGGCACTCCAAACGTTGGCGAGGTCCATTCCAGGTGCTCCTGACAACACATACTGCTGTGAAGATAGCTGAGAGAGCAACGTGGGTACACGCCAACCACTGCAGGAAAGTCCCTGAACCAACAGAGGAATTCAGCTGTCAACCTGAACGGCGCGAGGACAGTCGACGTGGAGACGGACAACACGAGGACGAACGAGCGCACGGAGAGGACGACACGAGGAATAACTCCATAAATTCAACAACCACCAACTAGACGTCAGGATTAACAACACAAACCTTCCCAATAGATTACACCATGCACCACCTGATCCTGATCCTATTATGTTGGATGATGCTGATAGAGGCCTACACCTACAAACCTGCCAAGACCATCACTCTGACAGAAGGACAAAATGCAACCTTCACGTGCTCTGTTTATCCCGAAATTTGGCGATCAGGTCGAATTCAGTCATATTATGCCAAATATGACAAGTACCTATGCAAAGACCCCTGTGGCCCACACGACTGGCACTAGATCGTGGCCGCTACTGATAAAACCTCTGCTCCAAACAGAGATCCCCGCCTCATAATCACAAAAAATCCAAATTCCAACAGAGCCAAGATCACCATCTCTGATGTCAAATCCTCTGATGAACAATGACAATCAAAATCCAGCCCCATCTCACATTTCTGATCCCCATCATTACCCCAGCTCAGATTATGACTCTGATGATGACATTTTGTAAATAATGTTAAGAATGTTTTTGCTTTTGTTCTTTTCTTTCTTTTGTTCCTTCCTCTTCTAAACAACTGCCATGATGATACATTTTAAAAATCCATGTGAATTGATGTGTCGGACAATTAAGTTGGGACTATATACTTTGTTTTTATTTTATTCTTATACTTTTGTTTTGTTTTTTTTACTGTTAGTGATTAATGAATAATCAAAAGGGGGAATTGTAATGGTAGATTCAGTTTCTTTGTTTCAGCCACTGCAGATGCCCAACCTCCCCCTTCCTAACACAAGATGCCAGGTCCTTTTGAGTTTTGTAGATTGTGATGTCTGGACTTGGCTTTGCACCTGAATGCAAGATCCTGTAGGACACCTCATATGTAAAACACACCAGCAGGGGGTCGGCCCTGATGTCTGCAGTGGGCAGAGGGGTGGGAAAGCACTTCCTGGAAGGCCAGACCCCTACAGCAGACAAAGGGGTGTGAAAGAGGTGGTCCTCAGGTATAAATGTTTAGATATCCCCATGTTCGGGGTCCTTCTTCATCTTTGACCGCTCGTGTGTTGATTGACCTTTTCTTTGCAAAGAAAATAAACTTGTCGGCCAGCAGAAGCTCTCTATTTCATTCTTCACCAGCAGCAGAGAAATTTCCACAACAGACTTTCCATATTGCAATTATGAAATGTAGCTGTACACAGAATGTTGAACAATAACTTTGAATTATGTTTTACACAACCCTTCATAGTTTTAAAGTGATTATAATTCAATGTGGATTTTTTTTTAAGTGAGAATCGGCTGCAGAATGTCAACATTTTCTCTTTATTGATTATATAGACTGTGGTTTGATGTACTGACGTACTGTATTGGTGCTGACTTTGATGATCAGTGTGCATGTGTACACACGTGTTTGCAGTGGCACTGAGGTACAAAACAGAAGTGCAATGGGATTGGCCAACTGCTCATTGCCATGGATACCAACATACTAATATTGCTGTCTGGAGAATCTGAAAGTCGATGGATGACAGATCCTTAATCTGGACACACACGAGGAGGACTGGAGCTTTAATGAAAGGAGGCAAAAAGAAGAGAGTGTGTGCAGTATTATTACATCTTAGTTCACCATGAATCATCTAGCCCCGCCAGCAGTGATCAAAAATACTCATCTATCTGTTCTTGAATCAGTCAGTTTCAGTTTGAGTTAAGTCACTCTTCATATTAAATTGAGATAACCTGGGTTAGAATCACATTGTATTTAACAAACAAAGAAATCCCGCTGCTTAACCAATAGATCCTGAATTTCATATTTTTCCCAGAGAATCAGACCAGAACCAGACCTCGGCTTAAAACTGCTGTAGCTCTCTAAGCTGTTGAGTTCTAGGTCATGTCATTAGCTACCGTTCAAGATATTTTTACGACTACTTCAACATTCTTGACTTTGATTATGGCTACACGTTTTGCTGTTGAACCACTGCACCGCTCCGAGGTCCACAGCAAGTAGAGAGCCATGCGAGTGCATCAATCAACCACACCTTTTTAACTCCTGGTTGTCCAAGAGCCCCTCTGAGGTTGAGTGGGCTTTTCTTCGGGGGTTTATATAATCAGGTGCGAATGATCAGTTTCTAACACTGCTGCTCTGCAAATGAAAACACTTTCTATGTGCCCTTTCAAAAGAATAGTGCCACAGCCTGTAATTATTTTCTCTATAGATATGGAAATGTACATATAGCAACAGAAGGATATAAAACTCAGAACATGGGGGGAGATAGGGAAGTCCTTTATTACATACCATTTTTCTTTCAATCATTTAATTATATTAAAATAGTATTTTCTTTTTTATTTAAAAATCTGTGCCAGTTGATCTTAATGTCTTTGCTGTTCGATGTCTTGCACCAATTGACCGTTCACTAAATCCATCCCCAAAAACAACAATTGTCGAATCATAGCTTAGCAACCAGTGCAGCAGGTCTGTCAAGCTTTAGATTTCTCCACATGCTGTAATTGGCCGGCTCTGTGGAGGTGAGAAAGTCAGCAGGGGCTTCTCTCAAAAATCTTTTACACAACTATTTCTGTCACTTTTCATTTGTACTTTTCACTTTGCCTTCCAGGAGAGACTGTCAGAGAATGTGCACTGTTATTTGCATATTTATACTGTAAATTATATCATGTTCATTAAATTCATGGTTAATAATCCAACCTTGACATTTAACAACAGGGAAATACAAATGCGGTGTATTATGCAACACATTAGTCATTCTATTTATTGTAATGCAAAAATAAATGAAACGTATAATAAAGGTAATAAACTTGAGTGAAGTTGTCCAACCTGATTATATGAATGGTGCATTGTTCTAATTTACGTCTAATTGGATCTTTGCTGGTTCCTGCTCCCTCTTCCTCCATCCTTTCTTGTTCAGAACCATGTCCACCTGTAGAGTGCTCATATTTATCGGACTGGCTATCAAATATTATATATAATATATACCATACAGGTTATAATGGGGAAACAACTGAAAGTTGATAGCCTTTTTTAACCACTTTAGTGTAATTCTCTAAACGTTTGTGCAGTCTGACCAGTTAAACCCTGAAAATGGTCAGACCTGCAGGAAGGCAATGAAACCTCCAGGTTGACAGAAACATTTTGTTCTTCTAGTTGTTTCATTTAGTTAGTTCATAACATGAGCATGAAAAAGCGCCATCTCACCTTCTCTAGACCAGCCCTGTGCCTTTGTCTCGCTCCTGCCTGCTTTTCACAACACCTTCGAGTGTGTTTAGATCAGGCATAAACACTTTAGTCTTCCCATGTGGTTGAACAATACGTTGTATGAGCTAGTTCTTTTCTAATATAACCCTCTCATGAGGCTGTAGCTCTGATGGTGTGTTGAGTGTGTAATTTATATTTGCAGCTTTGACTGGACAGTTGTGCTCTGACGTAACCGCCACAAGATGTTCACTTCTTGTACAGTATCCTCAGAGTAAAGTTTTTTTTTCATTCACATTGTTGAAATTGTTTTAAATACAAGAACGGTGTTTGAGCTGGCAAGATTGATCAGCATTGCCATTTTACAAGTGGAGCAGAGAACAAATTTGTGCTTCTATTTCTTCAGGCATAAAACAAGTGTGATTAGCTCTCGATTGGCTGACACTTTGTGCTAGAGGACATTTGCATAAAGTTGAGCTAGAACTGAAAAGCAGCCTGTCACTGCCCCAGCTATTTGTATGAACGTCTCCTTAAGCAGGAATAACACTTTCTGCGTCCACTGGTATGCAAGGGTTCGGACATCCGCATACCCCCAATTTGTTGTGACAACGCAGACTGGCCTGCATGTTGCCATCAAAAACATAAATAAGACCCCATTTGCAGGGTTCTTGTTTTAAAAAGAAACAAATAAAAACATTAACTGGCAGAGACAGTGTAAAACGTATAGCCAGCTGGCCACAGATGGCTGATGGCTCAAATGGAGAGGCCTCTTTTTGTCTATCTCTATCTAAACTTAGGGACCCATTGTTTGAGTGAATTTGAGTGGTAAATCTGCCACCAGTTATCACTGCAAACTGTGTATGTCAGTGGAAAGCTTGGCAGCCATAGCAACAGTAACTAAGGAGGCAGAGCTTAGGGAAAGGTCAGTTGCATGCATTTTTATCTCCTCTGTAAGGCATATTAAACCCTGGTTTAACACGCAGCCATACATATTGCTACATACTCATTCAATAATGTGAATGTAAAGATCTTCAATACCGATTGTGTCTAAGCAGATAACTGTTCATTGAAAAAGAGAGTTAGGAAGAGTTATGCTTTAGTGTTAATGCTTTAAATATGAGTTTCAAAAGCTTCCATCCGCCCCTCAGTTGGACTGAAGGAGGATGAACCATCTTTTACGGGGTGACTGATCTGGTCTTCAGGCTCTGTAATCTGCAGGTCACATACTGAGAACGGAGTTCTTCTTTCAGGTTTCATCTCCTCTCTCAACGTTGAACTTGTGTAAAAATAGTTTCCTGCCTCTTCGAGACTCTTACTCTGCGCCTGAAATAGAGAAGGAAGAGGAAGCAATTATATTAACAGAGCAGCAGCAATTAGGATCATGCGGTTTCCCGCTGTTGCCTATAGTTGATTTCTATCTAGACATCCCATTTAGACTGATTTCAGCCCACGCTGAAACTGCTTTAAATTAGTTCCTCCTGTGGTTGCTTTGGGTTTGCAGTGGGATGAATATTCATTGTGTATTTTTCTCATCTCTCAGAGATAAAATATCAGCATGACAGCATATTACTTTAACAATATACTTTTGTAATTGTGCTATCACACCAGAGGGCCATTATAGCATTGAAGTGGAAGCATGTTTTCATACCAAGAGCAAGACTGTATTCATGGTGAATATTATGGTTAAAGCTTCTCAGACTTTGGACCAACAGTGGTAGAAATAAATAAAACAAATGTCACACCTCAACACAGACAACATGGAATCATTTTCACAAGGATTGTCTCATTTTTGTGGAACGGTTACATTTAGGTATTTTAAACTGCTAAAGGTTATAAAAAAATTGTGGTCAGGGTTATGGTCTGTAGCAGACAGGATTTTGCTTGTACATTGTTTATTGTCATTTATATTGTCTGGGTGGATGAAAACTCTGGTCCATCTCCACAATACTCACTTCTGCAGTCTATGGAGGTTATAAGAAATATAAAAGATATAATTTGTGTCGTCTTACAGCCATGAAATCAACATCACAGGAATTGTCACACTGTCTAACAAAAGATAAATAGTTTTTGGTCTAATCCCAATTCAGTGATAAAATGCAAATATCACCCTTCCTGGATTTGGTAGCTGTGATGCAAGGTTGCCTGCAGAGGTGTAGTGGCTAGTAGTACAGGAAGTTGACAAAGTGAAATTGTGTGAATGTCTGTGGCGTTCTTATGTTAAAACCAAAGAGTGGATTCGTCAGTCACTAGTCAGTTAAGTTACACACAGTAGACCCTTTCTCACGTGTTCCTCAATTTCTTTCCTCTCCTCATCTCCTGTCATCTTAGTCCCTCCCAAACGAGATGCGAACAGGGGAGGTAAGAAAGAGACAAGAGGAGAAAGGAGTCCAGGCAATGGGCATTTATCAAAATGAAACATCCTTGCGGAGCCTTCATTTAAAAAAACAACTTTAATTAAATATGGCTTGTCGGGCAGCTGCAACACCTGCCCATTGTTTTGTTACAGCCTATTGCTGTGTGTTATGATCTCTGTCAGATGAGCATAAAAGTGATTATGACAACTAATATATCTACTTTTAATTTAACTCACAATGTGGCATGAATGTATGTAATAACTACAAATGATTGTATGAGAGGTACTATACATGCACTGGCATACATTATATATTATATCAAGATAGTGTAAAATCCATCTGGTTGTTATATGGATAATGTAAATAACTGCTCTTACATACTTCCCCCAAAAAATGACATTGAGTGTTAACACAATAAATAAAACACTGAATCTGTTTTATGTAAATGGTTATGTAAATCCTCTGGTGTTAACATCCAGACCAGAATGCCAAAATAAATTTTTATGTGTGTGTTTAAAAAAGAGTTTAAGTAAAAAAAAATAAATGAAGTTGCATCAGAAGATTTAAGTCATGTAGGAAGATGATCTGCTGATGTTTTATAATCATAACCCTCTTCATCTGAAAGTCATCTGCACAGTCTGACAGACCGCACACTGATGTTCATTCAGGTCGACACTGCTGATTTCAGGAAGAGAAATCAACATAACCAGAAATGTTATTTCACTACTCTGTTTTTTTTTTTTCTTTTCTAGCGTCTTTCTGTTTGAATTAAGAAATAAATCAGAACAGGAAAGAGGCAGGGGCCTCTTTCCTGCAGGGGCATCTTTTATGTAGGGGCATCTTTCAGGACTCAATTTTCCTTCACAGTATGTATATTTCATATCTCATTCTGGGTTTAGTTTTCGATGAAGAGCTGCTTTATTATGCTGCCTGCCGATTTTTTCCTGCTTTGATTTAACTTGGGCACACGTTAAGTGGAAAATACAAGAATAAAATCATATGTCGCAAAAAAAAATTAAAAAAGGTCTAATATAAAATGTTCTGCCCGATTTGTTTAGCAATTTCCAGAACCCATCACAATTCAAACTCACTTATATTATTGTCACTTAGGAGCCATGACCTTAATCAACATAATCATAAGTGGCAGATTGAAAGAAGTGATCTGTTGAATACTGTGAAGGTAAGGTCAGTCAATTAATTTAAGAGAGAAAGTAAATGATCTCATCAGCCTGGTCCTACAGAGTTAATACATATTTAATCAGAAATAGAACTTAGAACTTACTGCAGTTTAATATACATACTATATATTATATAGTTTATATACTATCGTTTTTTTTCTTTTGACTATTCTATTGTTGGTAACAGGTCACCTAGATTTGGTCAAGGGTCATTTGACAAACAAAATAAAAACAGAATAACAAAGCCATATAGAAAATGTCCAAATGCAGAATGAGCAGTTTCAGCTGCAGGCCATCCAGAGACACTCATAAGCAGCTGTGAATATTTTGGTTCACTCAGGTTTAATCCATTCATCACACAATCAAGTTACTCTTAGTACTAAACAAAACATGTGTCAACAAAACCTTCGGTACTGGTGGAAGTTAGCAAGCCTACACACACATTTAATGGGACAAAAAAGCTATCTGTAGTCATTGTGTGCAGGCGGTGTCCGGTGGAGAGCTACTGCCTGCTGCAGGGATGGCCAATGGCAGCTGGGGGAAATCGGTCTATTACCAACCCTGTGCGCCCTCTCAGCTCCTGGTACACACTGTGGCAAAGCTTTGTGGATAAAATCTGTTTTTACATTCTGTTTATCCCACATTTCCCTCCCATCTTCACAACATCTACGGAGTCTAAAGGGAGCGTCATCTCTTTCTGCATTCACTTGCAATTTCCGACCAGCCACAACTGTTCATATATACATATTTTTTGTAACTAGATTGTCCAAATCTAGGGCGACAGGGCAGCTGCCAACCTGGTAGAGCCGCCCCTGGCCATAGAGTGCTACAACTTCTTGACAATGGCCTCATCATATTCTACTGATAATCAGGTTGCAGTAACACGGCAAGAAATGCAGCAGTGCACCAAAAAAAAAAGGCAGTGAGGAAGAAGACTACAAGCATGGATGTAAACAATGCAGAAAACAAGTTTTCTGCTGCCAGAACAGTGGGCTCTTCTCATGTGTCTATTGTATGCCACCTCGACTCCTCCGTCCTTCTACTTGTTACCTGGAAATAAATCCCAACGTGCCATCTTGAAGCACATCTCAATTCCTAAAATGCATTTCGAGGAGAGCGGGGATGCACAGGGATATCCTTTTCAGCACCTATTACATATAAAAGAGGAATGACATGGAACATACAAACCATGGGGGGAGTCCTCTACAAATACATATGGTTGTATTAGTTATTTAAGATGATCAAATGCACAGTCAAACCCTCTGCCTTTAGCTGTTCGTGTAGTGCCTCTTAAGGTGTTGTTGTAGCTGCATTTCTTAATGACATTTCACCAAAATTCAGTGTGAGGGAGACAAGATCCTTGCTTTCTGCTAGACAATTTATTAGCAAATAAGTAGGAACTGTATTGCCTAATTTAGTTTCAGACACTAAAATAGGCTTAAAGGGCTTGAAGCAAGTAAACAATTTGGGTTCAGGTCAAACTTCACAACAAATCAACTTCACACTAATCATTTTTCCTTTAATGATTATTAAGTTTGTTTTTTGTAGGGAACAGGGTTTTTTTTAATCAAACATCTTCAGCTTTGTTTAAAAGTTAGTTGGTCAGAAAAGCAGAAACAGCCATTTACAGATTCATTCTTAGATTTGTAACACACTGCACACACCACAATTATATATGTTTCCATGACGGCTCTTAATTATTAATGAATTTGTGCTCACAAGCCTTCCATTACTTCACAATACTAAAAACAAAATAGTCATTTTCATGCTGGGCACACACTGTCACATAATTTAATTATACAAACAAAGGGAAAAACACACTCAATAGTAAAATAAAATAAGTTAATTTTACTGTTTCACATAAGGGTTTAACCTGCTCTGATTAAATATTCAGAGTATAAAAAGATGAACATTACTTAATGGCCAATTCATGAATAAGAACTGTTTGAAATAATGCTTCGTAAAACATTAGCCTGATTTCAGACCTCTGAAGCGTTGCCCTCAGTGAATTGTTAAAAACAAAAGGCTTAATTTGGATGAGATTGATACAACAACTTGTTGTAAGTCAAACTTCTAAAATAACAACTTAAATTGAAAGATTATGCTTGTTGCAACCGCTACTACAACTTCCATGTCAACTGAAGATACTTCCACAGTGCAGATATTTAAAAGCTTAGAGCAAAATAACCCCAAGATGTCAATGTTTTATTTTTAGTTAGCCGCTGTGACTTCCTGGAGTGTCCACTGTGTCAATTTTACACCTCCAACAAGATAAAATGTGTTAATTGGTGAACTTTAGAGGTTCTAACAGGTGTTTTTTGTTATCTTTGGACCGGTTCGAATTCTGACTTCTTATTTTGATCTTCTGAATTGTTTTAGTTTTAGTCCAGTTTTAGTTGACAAACTGTCATAAGATTTTAGTTAATAGGGTTAACAAGGACAGCAGCGGTTTATTTTAGGTTGTATTGTATTTCAAGTTTAATAAAAACAGGCCAGCTTTTTATCTTGTTTTTATTCACTGACGAAAAAGATTTCTTTTAGATTTTATTTAGCTAGTCCGTGAAAAAATGTGGTCGGTTGAGGAAAACTGTGACTTAAATCTATTTGTCAATTAAATTAACACTGCATTGGACAGAGCCAGGCTAACTGTAGCTTCACATAGTGTGCAGATATCAGAGTGATACCAATCTCATCTACTCTGAATGAGCAAAATATTCCTTTAATGATCACAATATCAAATCACACACCCAAACTATAGAAATATTGACTGGCATCTCACAACTAATAATTGATTTGTGGATTCGAGCGTTTGTAAGAACAGAAAAGCATCAACATCATCCAAATCAAAACTCCATCAACCTGAATTAACTTGAGCTGAAATTAATTAATGATTACCTCACTGAATAATGTTTACTGCAAAGATAAGAAACAAACTGCATCACACACTGAATATAAATGTTGCAGCTAATAACAATGTGCATATGAATATGTTCCACATCACAACAAACCAATAACAAAGCTAAATATTCCACAAGGATATACTGGAAATAAGCTACCAATGTTCTCTGCATCAGAAATGCTGCTATTGTGTGCATCTCTGGAGGTAAATGGCTGCCCTTCAGATGGATAACTGTGTTTTTAGTGTCAAACACGTCAACAGCATTGACAAGTTAAAAACCTCTCTGTTGTGGAAGATTGCTGAAAGCTTGCACTCACTGACTCACTGGTAATGGTTTAAATGTCCGCGGTCTGATCAGTTCTTTGTATATCTGAAAATCTTGTCCTTGACTGCCAGTCGTCATTTTGACCTTGACATTTAATGAGTACATATTCCAGAACTAAACAAAGCTCAGACTATAATACCTATATAACTATAATGTATGATACTTCCATAACATTGGTAGTACTAATGATTTCCAATTATTTTCTGGTTCTCTGACACAGTGTGGGAGCTGGGGAATAAAAACTGGAATGATAAGGAGGTCTGTACTAAAGTAAATATTCATCACAATACAGTGAGACAGTAAAAGAAAAGAAAATATTCTACAAGAAGCGTCAGGGCACTTTCATTAATTCTGTGGTTGTCAGAATTGTTTCAAAAACATGATTCTCTTCAGTGCAATGTAGTTCAAACTCCTGTGTGCTTTAATTATTATTATTATATTTTACCACCTCTCATTGCTGTGTATGAAAAAAGGTTTGGGTGATCAATTGCCACACATTCATCTATTCTCCTGATAGCTCTCCAAACCTGTTTCCCCTCATCAGTGAGAAAATTGGAGCCGTTACTGAGATTCTCTAAGGCAGAGTAAAGAATGCTTAACATGAGGAGTCGCTGTCTGATGTTGTGCCAGTGTTGTTTCTTTAAGACTTTAGAAATTGTACTTCACAAAAAACATTTCATCAATAACTCCCCCACTTGCATGAAAAGTGAAAAAGTTTGCAGGTGAATCTGTGTCAGTGACAATGAACTTTTGGGGTGACAAACAGCCTTCCTCTCTAGCTCTAACCACTGTCTGTATGCGGAAATAGTCCTCCAAATACATTGCTTCCACTTCTTAAGTTGTTTGACAAAAAATAGGTTTGGAAACCCGCCAGAATCTCAGCAGCTTGTGAAGAAAAAGAACGGTCCTCTGAGAGGATTTTACAAGTCTAGCTGACGAGACAGGTAATGTGGTGAAAAATCGAACAAGAGGAGGAGAGAAGGTAAAATTGCTCACTGCAAGTAGTGGTAGTGTTTAACTTCTTTGGAATTAAATAACTTTTTCCCAAAACATGTAAAATGATGTTTGGACCCACACAGCTACTCATAACTATACTATACACCGATCAGCCATAACATTATGACCCCCGGGAACACACCACAAGAGCTACAGTGTTGGAGATGCTCTGAACCAGTCGTTCAGCCATCACAATTTAGCCCTTGTCAAAGTCGCTCAAATCCTCAAGCTGCCTATTTTTCCTGCTTCTAACACATCAACTTCGAGGGCAAAATGTTCATTGCTGCCTGATATATCCCACCCACTGTCAGGTGCAGTGATAACGAGATAATCGATGTCGAGATAATCACTTCACCTGTCAGTGGTCATAATGTTACGGCTGATTTCTTTTAGTTATAATGAAAACAGGAGCCGATTACTCTTAAATAACAGAGAGCTTTAAGCCTAATATCCTATTGATTTTGTCCTAGAAGAGATGACTTCAGTTAAAAAGATAGATGGAGGCCATCCACAGTTCCCCAGCATCACATTAATCATTCTGTTGAGGACTTTATACCTGATGGATATTTGGAGCAACAACAAACTTTATCAGATAAATGGTAATGGTTGTATTGCCTGTTAGGAACACACACACACACACACACACACACACACACACACACACTGTTGGAGATGTGAGTGATGTAGAGTGGTGTTATTTTGCAGAGAGTGTGGAGTGCATCGGTTCTTTAACACTAAGGCTGTGTTTACATAAAATGTGAAACTTCTCCATTTGCTATTACCTAAAATATGAGATTTTTACCCACCGACAAGTGGCTATTTGGAAGAGTAGACATCAGTATATAAGGTAGGAAAGAAGATGATGAGATCAAACTCTCTCACTGAAACTTAATGTGGTTCCTTATTCCATGTGCAGTAAGTGGCAGACTCAGGCTGGAATTGAAAAAAAAATAAAAAGGGGACCAGCACACAGAAATCTGTGATGCATTTATGGTGAAACAGCTAATTCAAAGCTAGGACTAACACCCTAGAGGGCCCTTCATCATCTTTGATCTACCATAGGGGCCTCCAAGAGAGTACCAAAGTGAAATCTTCAGTCAATATAGAACATGTCAATCTTCCATCATAACGGGCCTCCATATTGAAACATGAAGCAATAATACCAGACGAAGACCTCGAAAATAATTGACAAGGAAGAGGTAATGAACTCTCCATTGATTAAATAGAGAAAGAAGAAGAGCTCCAGAAAAAGCTAGTATGTGACCCTTGAGTTAATTATTTCTCATTATAGATATATTTATTATACGCAAACCATTACTTGATCATTTGTATTTTTTGTATTTCCTATTTCATGTCACTGTAAATTGACTTTTGATTGTACAGTGTGATAAATCTAAAATTGCATATTTATCACTGCTCATTTAGCAGGATTAGTTGGTACACACCAGCTAGAAACAAGTTTGTTGAACTTTTGTTTTTTCTTTACATTTGCTGTAAATGTAGAAGTATTTCGACAACAATGTCGATGTGTTACCTGTGTGACATACACACATATACAGAAGGGAAGAGCAGAGAATCAGAATCAGAAGTTTCTTTAGTTTACTTGAACTTGTTAAAGTTGGAGTCAATTGTAACTGTCATGAAATTCATGAGACACGTTTCTTTTAACACATTTCACCACAAGGAGTGTGAGATACAAAAAACACTTGTCACTTAAAAACGACTGTGTATCACTGTGTGGGTTTGAAAACCTAAACAGACACAGATTCCTGTCCTAATGCCACCAGCATACCTTTTTGTTGTCAGTTAAGGTTTTCTTGACGTCAAACTGGCTGAAGGGGTTTGGATGAAATTCTTCTTCATCCCCCACTGTCATTCTTGGAATGGCCGTCATTGGGCGAATAACCCCGGGTTTCGTCTGGACAGACAGATAAACAGCAGAGAGGAATTCATCCTCGTAAGTAGCTTTCCAAGACACTTTACATAATCAGTGTTATAGAAGTCGCATCAAATAATAATTGAATGTCTACCTTTTTAGGATGCATAAGGTTTCTTTCCACACCGGTAGATGGGTGCAAGCTGCATAAAGATGCCTGAATATATTATGTGGAAGAAAACCATCAACATAGTTATTAGTGTCTCTCTAAACTGAAATACTGATAACAAAACCATTTGCAGGTTAAGCAAAAGTATTAAAGGATTGAGGCTTATCACCGGACATTTTGTGCATTAAGCAAGAAATTAAAAAATGTATGTATCAAAATACATCTGTGCATGAAATGAAATGATTAGAGATAGCAGACAGGCCTCAAAATAACCAGTGGTTTGTTATTAAAGTTAGTTTTATTGCGCCAGATGTGCAGAAACATCTGCCTTCTGTTCTGATGTACCCACAATTAATTAACTGATGTAACTGCTCACATTTTCTTGTGACAGCATAAATGAAAATGCCAACAATAATTCCCAATATTGCTATGTAATCCTTTTAGGGGAACATCAGTTATTTGTAATGTGTGCTCAGATCATGAAAGAAGACAGTCTACTAAAGGGAGAGTTCAAGCATTTTAGAAATACCCTTCACAAGATGAGAAGATCAGTATTAATCTTGTGTCTTGTGCGTTCAATGTGGAGCTGCAGTTGGGACATAATTAGCCTAGCTAGCTTAGATACTGGAGGTTGTGGTTTTAGTCGTTCCTGACAAACAGACGCAGTGAAGTTGCCATGTTTGATACAATTGTGACTGCACAGAGACCAAAATATGCAGTCGCTGTCTATATCTGGCAGCTGTAGCCAGAAGGAGATATAACCACATCATTTAAAAATGTTTTAACTTGCAAAACAGGTACACACACAAAAAAAAATGTGTGCATATCCCCGGGCTTTAAGGAGAACTACTTCAGAGATAAGAGGAGAATAGAAAGGAGAGAGGGCTGAAGGGAAATAATATTAAGGACTGAAGTTTCTGGTGAAACTAGCAATTAGGGGGACGACATGAGAATGGGTAAAATTTGGGACAGGGGAGTTTGGGGTGGGCTTGGTCATGTGGCCACTTGTTCTGAGTGAGGATTAATGAGGTGTGTTTACAGGACGCACCTACCATTACGCACAGGTGACAGGCGTGTCATTGTAAACATCTTTTCAGTAGCTAAGATTGTCATTAAGCTGTAGGATCTTACAAACACATTTTTAGATATTTTTATCATAAATTCCTTAAGCAGTGGAGGCTGTATTCTTCTCATCTGGTTTAATCAGGTCGAATTACATCAATTACATGTTATTTATGATAATCAGTGCAGTAGACAAGTGAAAACACATCAAATAAAATACCAACGGTCCAGTGTTGAAATTCACGGAAATGACACAAGACAAAAATGTGTCTTACTTTCTGTCTAACATCTAGCTTTGTAGTTGCAGATTGCAGCTCACTCGAGATTACCGTGGCCACGAAACACGGAAAAATCTCGTGAAAACATAACTATGAATATTATATTACATTTCTGCCAATAGATCCCTCCAAAGAACCAGTGTCTATTCCTGCTACATCAACTCCATGTTCATATTTTTGAAGTAATAAAATTCCTGATGGAAATTATTCTCTTTATAACTTTAAGGGTCGTCTTAACTTACACAGTCTTGTGAATTGGGGACTAAAATTGTCTGAAAGTTAATATGAAAGAAGAATCACGCTGTCAGTATTGGGATGTCACTTTCGTTCTGTGGGAGTAAAAATCCTGGGAAAAACGTTTTCCATTAATTCAACAGAACTACCACACTCCTACTCACGTATTTGGTTTCACGTCCCAAGGATTTCGGAAATGATGAGTTGTTCTGCTGAAAGTGAAAAAGAAAGAAAGAACTGAAACAAAACAACAGAGTTACACAAGCCTCAACAAGTGGGATCATCTGAAAATGATTCATCCACTATTTCAAATGTGTGACAGTCAAAAGTGACTGAGATGTAAAAAGAAATCCTTGGTGGAGAACAACTCCAGAACTCATGGACTCATTGAAAACATCTGAACTCTTAAGTGTTTTTCCTCCTTTTTTACTTATTCTTAAGTTTAAGTGTTTCGTTTTCTCTTATTGTGCAGCAGTTATTTTCTCTTTTCCTAGTCAGTGATTGAAATTCACACAATTTCATCACTGTACTCTGGATCAACTAAATGCATTGTCAGACATCCAGTCCAACCACAATAAATGTGTCAATTTCACTGTGATAGCTAACTACACTCAACAGTTGTGTGCCAAGCCTCTGACCGCCATTGGTACTGTGTGTTTGGTTGTGATTGTTATTCTTGTGTTTTGATTCTTAGTTTTTACATGGTGTTTTTCATTGTGTCTGTTTTTTACAGACACAGTGTAATAGTGTATGATAATGTCCTTACACAACATAGTGTAAAGAGTTGATTTACTGATCTTTATCTTTATCTCTGTAACCTGTGCACTAGAGGCCTCCACCCAGGGACAGGGACAGCTGATAATTATCTACATTTATTCTACTATTCATGTATTGTGCATTGGCCCTGCTAAATAAATAAAAACACCATGCATAAAGAATATTTAACATGTTTCTACAAAACAATTGTGTATTGTGTATTCCTTATTTTAGTTTTAATTAGTTTTTCATTTGGCTCAAGGTTCCTTGGAGAATTTTGACACGCTAGTTATATGATACATTTATTGCTTTTCTTTTTGATTTAGAAACATGCTGTGGCTGTTTGATGCCCTACAAATTAAATTGACAGCCCTGTGATTTGGTTCGTGTCAGATTGCATTTGTGTGGTGCTGACAGATTTGATCACATTTGGGTTCATCTTTACAAACTCTAACTTTATTTTGAATTCCATTGAACATCCCAAAGTCTCATAAGATACTAAATATGTCAAGCTGAATATCAGATGTGTGAAAACAGTATAATACAGATTCAGTTTTTCTAAAGCTGTCAGCTAAAACAGAAAGAGTTAGCCTGGCTCTTTCCAATTGTGACCAAATCCACCTGCCAGCACTTCTAAAGCTCGCTCATTAACATGTTATATCGTGTTTAATTCAAACAACTAAAGTGTAAAAATGACAAGATGGCTTTACAGGAATTATGTGTCATACTATTTCTTGTGTCTTCCTGGAGTCACTGCGCCCGGCTGATGTAAACGTACATTAAATGTCAGGCTGTAAACCCACAAATTTTGATTTTTTAAATCATCTCCTGCTCCAGATTCATATTTACTGTAACAGTAGTATCAAACTTCTCATATAACTATCAGTGAATAAGTATATTTCCCAAAACCTTTAATTGAAGAAACTTAAAGGGAAAACCAAGAGCTTATGAGCTTGCTATGTGTCACATGCAGTTAAAGAAACATACTGTACCTGCAGACCAGCGCTGGGAGTCGATGATCTGGAGGACTGCAGTGACTGGGATGTTTTGCCCTTAAAGGTTGCAAAAATAAACATTAAATCACTTTTGATATTACAAATCAACATTTGTACATGTTTGAATATATATGATGAAGTTACTTGAACTCACTTCTGGAATGGAATTTGCCAATATTTCATCAATAACTGCATAAAGTTCCTCTGACTGTTGACGGAGCTGAGCGGGTGAGCACATCTGCAGGAAGCACAACATGATTGATGTTACCGGTCTGTCGTATGAAGTGTGCAGTGACAACCAGCAGTGATGTGTGCAAAAATACCTCAGCGTGGGTGTCTGCAACACCTCTGTCCAATGTAACACCTCGGCCCAGCGTGTGACACGGACTCTCTTCTCTCTCTACCTGCTCGTCTATTGCCTGTGAATGCAAAGCAGAGTGAACTGAGTGAGATCCCTGCTAAAACTGCTGCTTTCTTTTCTCAGACAACATAAGTGCAACATCTCTTCCAAACAATTCATATTCATCCACTCTGTATTCTTCACAGACAGCTCTCCCTTCTCTGCAGCTCTAAATGTATCGTACTGCGGTGTGAATAACTCAGCAAAATGCCATGTTTCCATGTCTCTTTGAGCGTGATTTGACTTTCAGAGGTTTAAAAACTGATGCTCTTTCAGTTGCATTATCTATAGCCTGTAAATCCTTTCAGTATGAGTTTTCTGTTATTGTTGCCAAGCAAGTTTTTGCAATTACAAAATGTAATTCTCTATTAAGCCTAATGAGTGGGCAATTAAAATGCTTTTTCTTAAAAGAAACCTTTATAGCTTATGCATCAAATTCACATTAGGGAGTAATATGGATGAATATTTAACAGGATAACAATGTATTAGTGGGATTAGAGTCAAATAAGTGAACTCACCTGCTGATCCAACAGAAGGGTGTTTGTGGGAATTGCAGCAAGTGATTTGTAGCTTAACTTAATCTTGTGTGTCTAGAGTTTATAGAGAGAGAAGAGAGCACACAATAAATATAAATTCATTCACAATTCAAATTTCTGAATTTTATACGAAAGATAAACTGTGCAGAACGTGTCTTGGAAATACATCATATGTGTTTTACATGTCATTAGGCATGCTTTATCTCACACTGCTGCAGGCTACTAATAATGCAAAACAGACAGCCACACTCAAGACACCCAATGGCAACAACCACTGAAGACCACATCGCTTTCTTGCTGCTCAGATGACTCATTTGACCGACTGTAAATGTCACCATAAAGTCCAGTTTATACAACAGGCAAGAAAACTAGACAATAGTTTCCCACATTATACTTATATTTCCCTGCTTGCAATAAATAAATTGGATTCCTGATGGTTAATACATACTATGGTGTTACTTAACTGGCCTTGAAACCAGAGTTTTATGCTGCTGCATTGATTTTGGGATGATGGGCTCCCTCTTGCCTCGACATTTGACATTTCACATGTGTCAATCATTAAAATCCAGCAATGTTCAGTATGACTGAAATCTCTCCGAAGCAAAGATCTACATCAACATAAATACATGCTAAGACAGATAAACAGAAATCTAAAAACAGCTCCACACAGCACTTGATATCCAGCTATCAAGTGAGTTAAATTTGTTTTTAACTACATAGCGTGGGAGAACAGTATGTCATGGGGGGAACATAAGATAATAAATAATACCCTCAGTTCAAACATGCAAATGGCAAGCAGAGCGGCTACCTTTCTTTTTTTACCCTCCCTGTCACTGCAGTCTGATATTCCACTCCCCGGCCTTGGGGAGGGCGTGGAGCGCAAGGAGAGAGAAGGGGATGGGGTGAGGTCTCTGATTGGTGGAGGAGCCGGAGAGGGCGTAGGCGTAGGCGTAGGCGTAGGCGTAGGGGAGTTGGTGGGTGATAGCCATCCAGAGAAAGCAATGGGTGTGTAGCGGGAAGGAGACAGACAGTGGGCTTTGTGTGGTGTGGCATTTTTGGAATCAGGCCAGCTCCTCCCTGATTCACAGCTTCCTGCTGTGTTCTGTAAATATGGCAGAGGTGATGCCGTGCTTGTGCGCGTGACACCGGGTGAGCGAGAAGACTGAAGCTGAGTAGGGCTGGAAGGGGAGGATCTCAGCTGTTGAGAAAGCAAGTGAAGCCTTGAAAGAGATGAATTTGGCCGGTGATTCCATTTCTGGGGCGCAGAGGTCTCTTTTTGATTAATAAGTTGAGAGGATGGGGAAATTAGTTTTTTAAGGTTATTATCTGCATTGCCCTTGGGGTACGTGTGAGTGGTGCTGGACTTCAGCTCAGGGGACTTCAAAATAGAGGTGTGTGTGTGTTGCAGTTTTTTGGGAGTTGCACAGTCTGTTTCTTCATGCTTTGGTGGAGAAACAGATTCAAAGTTTGAGCAAAACACAGGTAGCGGAGTTCGAGTTAATGTGCTGCTCTGCACTGCCAGGGGTGAAATAACCTGCTCCCACCTTGGTGCGCTGCTCGAGCGAATCTGCTCCGAGTATCTTTTCACTTGAGTTTGAGGGCACACTCTGCTGAGCTCATTTGACTGCACAGGCGGAGGAGCAGTGATGCATCTATTAGGCTCCCTGTGAACGTGGCTTTGACTATCTATAGACGCTGATGAGGAGAACTGGGAGGAAAACTCCAGGGGGATGGAGGCCACGCTAGAGGCTGCTGAGCACGCGTTACAGAAGGACAGGGTCACAGGGCTGACAGGCCAGCAGGGGGTGTAAGGCCTCTGCAGAGTGGGAGACAGAACAGGAAGACGGCCTTTTCTGAGGATGGCAGTGAGGAGGGAGAGTCGGGTGAGAGGAGGCCGGTGCCGGGGAGGAGGGGACTGGGGACAGACAGAAGAGGACAGGCTCTCGCAGGAGGAGAAACAGGTTTGAGGGGTGTCAATCAGACTAGAGCCAGGCGCGAGAAAGTGCCTCTTGATCTGGACGATAGCAGGAGAGAAGATACCAGACAGGACAGATGAGCAGGGAGAGACAGTGCCACTGAAAGAGACAGGAGAGGTGACAGAGGAGAGCTGCACGGCGGACCAGCTCTTCTCTCTGTCCGAGCCCTCTGAGAGGATGGACTCTCTGGATGAAGTCGGGGTGGGGAACAGGTCTGCAGAGTTCGTGGGGCTTGATCTGTCCTCTGACACAGACGCTCTATTTGTAAAGAAACCCGAGCTAACCTCAGAAAGTCCAGCAGTATCGTGACACTGCCGCTGGGAAATGCCCCTGTGTTTATCAACAGCTGTTTCCATAGAGGCTGTCCCGGCAGCCACGTGGTTGAGCGTATTTTCAGACTGAGCGCTGACTGAAGGAGAGGCTTTGGTTTGAGAGAGGCTCACGTGATCCAGTGACGGTTTTAACTGGAAAACAAAAAGGTTTTCATTAAATAGAAACTAAAGTGCTTTATCCGACTTTCACTTCAAGTACTTTGAAGCCAGAGTAACCAAAGTGTTGTGCAAATGAAATTAATTACAAGTTAATGGGTTCTGTCAGTTGCGCCTAATTTGCGCAGAGAAGAAGCCGCTATCTGACACTCTGCAAAAGTAGAACCAAAATAAACCCTTTATAGAGCAGATGAATGAACTAGTTTCTTATTATTAAGATCTAATTAAAATGTCAGATTTGAAAGGTAATAAATGTTCACCTTGGACAGTCATTTGATTTGAATTTTGAATTAATCTCTTGACAATTTCTTATTATATATCAACTTGATGAGTGTATATTTAACCTGTAAAAATACACAGATATACAATATCTACACAGTACGCACACACACACACACACACACATACATATAGATATATAAATATATATAACATCAAAGCTCTTTGTCATAGGTTCCATATGACATTGAAAGTGCTCATATTGCACTTACTTGAGGTTTTGTTCCTGGTTGGATTGTGTTTCCTGCTCTTCCCTCCACAGAGTCCTTGATAAAGACTTTCTCTACTTTGAAAATATTCCCGTCTGACATGGTCTCCGTGGTCTTCTCCTCATAGGACACAGCTAAGTTCTGACAGGAGAAAATTAAGCAAATGTTTAGGAGGAACTGAGCAAGTGAAACCTGAGAAAACCCGAGGTGAACTTCAGCCAGCCTCTCTGAGCTCAGGGGTGTGCTTGGTTTCACACAGACATGCCCCACACATATAACGTGCATGTACATGTGACACATATATGTCCTGCTGACGTTGGTGTAGGACATGATTCATACACAGAACTGAGGAGGGGTCTGAGTACAGTGTGTAAATACTGGAAATGACAAGAAGTATTTTGTACGACTAGTAAAAGTTGCCAACACTTTTTAATCCTTCACACAGGAATTATGTTGCCAGAGTTAGCATCTTACTCAACCTAAAGCTAAGTTTAGACAACTGTCTGATTAAAGTTTGGGAAAAGGGGGGTGGTTAAGGGAAACCAACACTGACTGCTGGCACAAGACCGGAGCCCCGTGAAAATCCAGTCACTTTGTACAACCATCCATCATCCCCCCGGACCTCCTCCCTTAAAGGTTTCACTGATGAGATGCAGTCATTGTTCGCAGGGCCACAGGAGGTCGCTTGTGAGGAAAATGTCAGTCAAAAGTCATTCAAAGTGTTGAAAAATTGTAATTTTAGTAAAATGAGTATAAGGACTGTAAAAGTAACTCAACTGTACTTAAGTATGGAAGCTAATAAAGGCCTTGCTTGCAGTTATTTGTTTTTCGTTATCACGAGATAACAAGATAATTGGGTCACCTGGGGGGCTGATTATGTTGTTATGAACTGTATACATGATGAATACCACTCTCATGTTTTTGCATTAAATATGAAGCTAAAGCCATCAGACAGTTAACTTAGCTTAGCATAAAGTCTGGAACCAGAGGGAAACAGCTAATCTGGCTGTGTACAAGGGTAAAAAGTCCACCTACCAGCACATCTAAAGCTTGCTAATTAAAAGATTACCTCTCATTTGTTAAATCGTACTATAAAACCTAAAGCCAGGCCTTTTTCTTTTTAGGGCATTTATGCTAAGCTAAGCTAATTGCCTGCTGGCTCTTACTTTATGTTAGAGTGTAAATGGGATCCACATGAGATTACATGGATTTTGGATGATTAATATAATTTTTCATTAATTTATTTGACTTTATAGACTTGTGATTCAGCTGGCTATGGTTTACTGTATATGTGTGAACTCGGCTTAACGGATAATTCCAGGATAATATGTGTGACATTTAAGTGGAGCTAAGAAGGGTAACTGCTTATGACATGCAATATTACTGACATGAAACACATTTATGGTAATTATGATGCCAAAAATACATATGACACCACATGATAATGACACCCTTCTTTCCTAAATGATATAAATAATTCTCTCACTGGTGTTCTTTTTCCTTAATGAAGATAAGCAGTAATCAAAAAAATTAAAGGCTGCCAAAATGACACTTATTCCTGGCACTGTATTTAATACAAATGGCAGCTATTGTCAATAATATCATCACATATCGTGTGTCAAAAGCAGTTATATTTAGAACTTAAATGAAATGCAGTTAGTCACTGTGAGTTGTTCATGTGTAAACCAGCTGGTGTACCGTAATGATTCAAATTAATTGCCATAAAGCCTTGCTACATAGTTCGGTCATGCACGTGTGATAAATAATAACCATTTCAATATAAGAATTCAATATTTTTTATTAATTTGATTACATTTGCTCTGGTTGAGGCTGCAGGCAAGTTTTTCACAAATTTAAAACCCATTTGCTTAATTAATTCTGGTTACTTTTAAATATTAGTTGAACTTAATGTGTCTTATTCCAGTATAAAAACTCTCAGAATATATTTCAGAAAGAATATATCTGCTCACCAGTCATCATCTCAACTGTTTCTCCTGAATTTCCACTCTGGGGATCAATTAAGGCCTGTCTTATCTGATTAAGTCTGTTTGAAGATGATGTGTGATGAACAATGGGCCATGTATAGAAAATAAATTATGTAGGGAAGCTCTGAGTATTGTGTGATAGTGCCTCATATTTCAGATCAATGGTGGCCACTCAGAATACAAACTGATAATGGCCACTTGAGGTTACACTCACTAATTTGAAATAACGCAACGGGACAAAGATGGGTCCAAATCACAGTGGAGGAATAATGAGCTGTCTCACAAGTAATCCTTTACATCCTACCCTCTAGCGTCTCACTATAGAAGCTGTCTCACCACGGGGAGCATTTCTAATCTGTCATGTGTAAATACGACAAGATGTCACTCACTCTAAGCTGCAAACAGCTGTTAACCATATTCTGGATTACTGTCAAACCAATTTTACCAGAATACCTGACAAAATGTGTGTGTGTGGACTAAGAAACAAACTTTGCATCTGAGGAGAAACAGGTCACTGTTTGGTCCAACTGCAACAACCGAGATAAGGCTCACAAACTCAGATCCTGTGCGAGTGTTTGTAAAGCTCACAAATAGACTAAAGGTGTTCTCACCTGGCTATAAATATCTGCTGCTCTTTTGGCTGGTTAACATGGTAGCTGAACCCTTAGCAACCATTACATGTATATATATATATATATATATATATATATATGAGCACTACCTATAAATATATTTGCAGTTCTGTGATCATGAAGACATTTTATCAACTTCACCGTCTGGCAGCATTAAAACCGGCACAAACAGTTAACCTTACTTCTAGGTACGCTTCAACAAACAGCATAAGATTAATGAATGAGCTTTCAAGGGTCTGCTAAGTGTGATGTATTCTTTAAACTATAAAAAGATGGGGGTTTTAACTCTCCTGAAGTGGTGAGATAATAAAACTACACATTTTAGATTTAATTAACTTGAAATTAATCAAACTTGTATATTTAAGATGTATTAATTTTTACAGTGTACTGCCAGTTATAAAGCAGAAAGGTGCATCACCAAACCCAAATTTAGCTTTTGAAATAGATCAAAACAAACAAACAAAAAAAACAGTCAGAACAACAATTTGAGAGAAAGCTGGAGATAGATTTACAGATGGACAAAAAAACTAATGAAGTGGAAATGGAGTGTAAATGAAAGCATGGCAGCAATAAAAGAGCACAAAGACACGCATAGTGACACTGGTTTCAAACGCGACACGCAATCCAATATTGTGCATATATGAAAAGATAATACTCCCTATAGTATATATGCTAAAACACAGGGTTGTTCAGAGTTTCCCAGCTCAGTAGTCATATGTTGATGGTTAATAACATGAAGGGCTGCCACCCCTTTAGGTAATAGCAGTGGGGGAAGTTGAGAAACTAATGGTGCCACCCCCTGATGAGAAGACCTTTGAAGTCTCATGCAGGCAGCCAGCAAGTTGACTTCATGCAGCAGAGGCAGTCGTCTATCTTGAGGCACCCAGAGCTGTGATGTTGATGCTGGATGAACATCCAATAGTACATTAACCCCTTCAACTATCGACACCACTGGGGTCCACATCAGCCTCCAGCTTGAACATTTATTGTATACATAAAATTGGGCCCAAAGTCAGTGCAGAAAGCCTTTTAATCTTCTTCAAGTGTAAAAAACAAGTTTTCTTCTATGTGATGCACTTTTATGTGATGAGTTCAGAATCTGATTGACATTTATCACTGACTAAAAATGACATGCAAGAAAAAGTGAATCTTAGATCATCTGATTGGTTTTCTGAAGAATATGTTTGATATTGATAGACACATCTTGAAACATGGTATATTGATGTGTGAGTCCAGCCCTTGGACTACATGAAATAATTGGATGATGTAAAAATCACATCAATCAATGATGTTCACACCCACTACAGCAGTGGTTCCCAATCTTCTTACTTAAAAAGTGACGACCCCTGACTTAGTGACATATTTTATGGATATTTCACGTTATATATAAGGTATAGCAGAACAGATAACAGATAAACTGTTTGTTAAACTAAATCAAATAGTGACCTCAATAATTACAGGAAGTTTGTATAAAAGGAGAGATTTGGATGAATTTCGAGAAGATTATTTGCTGTGAATATTGCATCAGAGATGAGTTATTATTTTAAGGAGATTTTATACAATTCTCTGTCTGTACTATGTATTTTGAACTTTTTAACAATCATACATAGTTTAATAAGCTTTATTTGGCAAATGCAGTGTGTTTTATTCTCCCTGACATTTGGCCTTTGTTCAATGAGCTCTCTGGTTGTTTTAACTGCCTACTTTTCTAATGCAGGGAGAGGCTATTGAGCTTGAGTCTGAAGGCTCTGTTATTATAGCTTGTGTTCAGGTCTTCACCTCGCCCTTATATCAATAGAGCAGCAAACAACTATCTGCTATGTAACGATATAAAGGAGTGATTGTGTCCTCAGCAGAGAACGATATCACACTCTCTTTGACTGTGTTGCTACGGCAGCCTCTCTGTGGTTTGTTTATACAGCCTGGTTGGCTGTGCGTGGATGTGAGTCCCTCTGTGTACAGTACGTTGGTGAATTAAGGATTTATTTCACGCTGGTGCTCTAGTGTGACATCTGGTGGCAAGTGAATGTCGTATATACGTGTAAAAAAAATTTAAATTAAGAAGGCCTTGCGACTTGGCAAGGTTTGGCGAGTCAGGAACTAGTTAACTAGAGTTTTAAAACCTTTGTGGAAACCATACAATTCAAAATACAGAGCAATCATACTTCTTATTTTAAATTAACAGCTTCAAGGATATAACTCAAAATTCAATTCTTACAGATATACATTCTCAAATTAAGAAATTATTACAGCTTGTGTATCTATTGTGCTCATTTCCCACTAAAGATGAGTCAGACGGATTGTTGTTCCACTGTCTGAAAAGGACGTCATGGATGTAATTGCTAAAATGCAGAGAGTAAGAGCGAGATTGATTCTTCTAGAGAAGCAAAGGTGTGTCCTTTAATCCACAAACCACTGACATGAATAATCACTGGAAACTCAAGTCTTAAAGTAGCAGAATTAGTTTTTCTGGCTCATGGACCTCTTATGGGTTTAGTTTCACTTTCTATTCAGAAGAAGGAATCGTTGTTTCCCATAATCCTTATTTAGAGTTTTATGCGGACTCACATACAGAGTTATTTTGTCTCTGCTGTTGTTGTTCAAATAAATACTATTCAAACTGAAAAGAAATACTTTGAGCTGAAAAATAGGCTCATAGTCAAGGCTCATAAGTTTGATTAAAATGATAAACGTAATTTTGAATAAATTCAAGTGTGGAACAGAAAGACTGAAGACAGTGTCACATTAAATATAAGAATAAAGAGGACATATTAATATGCTAACATCATTCTTAAACAGAGACAGCGGGGGTGCATTTAAACTGGCAATCTTAAAAAATTAACACTAACGGCTCAAAAATTACATTACATTAAGTTTTATGATCAACTGGAAGAAGTTTTTATTAGTGAGGACTCAAACAGGCTGAGTGGGTTCATTTTTAATGCTGGAGAGCGATTTCCCCCTAAATTATAGAATAAGTTTGTCCACTGCCCACTGCAAATAGAGCACACAGACACCAACAGAAAGAAAAGTCTGTTTGCATACGCACACGCACAAATTCATTACATGCATTTTGATAAACACCTTGTAATAAAAGCAGTAATCATGTTGCAGATAATGAAAACCAGTTGGCGGTATTATCCCTTTTTTTTAACCTCCTGTGTGTGTGCTTCTGCTGTACCTTATTTGGTTTTCCTGTCAGAGCTCCAGATATCTCTTCTTCAATTACAAGACTTGCAATTGGTAATTTCCGCACCACAGGTACAAATGTGAAAATAGAAGGCTTAGTTGGCACTCCTATTGAAACCTGTAAAACAGAGACGACAGGAACAAATCGTCCACATTACACGCCCTTTGTAACAATTTCCCAGTAATTTCTCTGTGAAGCACACACACTTGCTTACTTACTTACAGTAAAGGATGAGTCAAACATAATGAGACTTCTTTCCTTAAAAAACTAGTTTAAGTGATCATGTCCACACACTCCATAAAATCCATGTTTCAGTCACTCTCAACATGTCTTCATCCTTAGAGTTGAATTTCAGATTCAGAATATCGTATTTCTTTCTGCTTCACTACACCCCCGTCACTAATGATCCATCATCTCAGACACACAGATTAGGCAGTTTAGCACCCTGCCGCTCAAAGCCTCGACACACCCAGACTCAGTGAGAGGTAATGAGTTGCAATTAAATCCACTCATGTTCTCATCTGCATAAAGCACCTCATATGTGCTACTTGTGCTGCGCTGTTAGTTGAGGTTAAAAATGCTGAAGCTATGTAACTGAACTGAAACTCAGAAAGTAGTAATTACTGTTTCAACCAGAGAACCAAAACTTTTTATAACAGTGGAGAGACACCTGGTTGAAATGTGTACCATAACATTTCTCTGTGTCCGTTTGAACTTTAGCTAAAGGATGCAAGGAAAGTTTAAAAAGAAATTTGTTGATTTTGCACTGGTTACTGAAATAAATGCTGTATTTACATCAGTTTCTGAAAAAAAACATACTTTATTTTAAGAGCTCTACTGGCTTGTGACGTACACATGGAGCTTTTCAACACATCTTTTTGGTAGACAGGCACCGCACTCCCTTAGCACCCTGGATGTTGTTTTTTGTTATCATTTTCATTACTAAAAGATAATTTTTTTAATACAAACAGCTCCCATGAAATTCAAGTACTTTCAGCGTGTGGTCTCCTCTGTAAAACTGAAAAAGGGCTTATGTCAAACCACTTTGGTTTTAACATCATAAAACACCCCCTGGGACAAGCAGGTTCAAACTGTGAAACCTCTGTTCGTTCTACGGAGGTGACCCAGAACACCCAGCTCTCAGCTTCCCTTATAGCTCAGTGGGTCCACTACAGTATTCACACTATCAGCGTTAATGGGTCGATTTCTGTGGTGGGTAAAAGCTTCGCCCCCATATGTGAAAGACAGAAACATTCCTCTGTGATTATAATGAGGGTTTTTTAGAACAGTAAAAGATCTAATTCCATGGGAACATCCATGTTTCCAGGAACTAAGCTTACTTTAAATTGCAAAAAGATTGCATCTCAGTAATACCGGTACTCCGGAGAAGTGTGTTGAGTCACTCACATTGTTGTCCTTAAATGCAATGCAAGGGTTTCGATTTGTTATGGTGGCGACAGACTTCCCATCGCAGTTTGGGTTCAATGGCATTTCATAGGCCGGATATGTGAAAACATTTCCTATTTATTCCCACGCAGCAATCAAAGCTCACACTCATCGAAAGTACTTCCACTGCTTACTAATCACACTTCTTCTCTCCACAGTGTTGTAGGTCATCTGCAGACTGCAAACTGGGGGGTAGATGCACTGAAATTTCCTTCACTAATCAGTGAAGGTTATTGTAGCAGATACTTGAGACTCTATTAAAAATGGATCACACATCCTGTGCTCATTGATGCAGACACATTCAGAGAATTAGCATATTAGGTTCTGTTTCACCTTTCATCTCACAATTTCACTATAGACACAAGTTCAACCAGCCAACTCGGTTCTAATAATGATGTACGTTGCAGGTTAAATGTGGGAAGAAGATACAAAAGCAGCTCCAAAACCAAATGATTACCAATATGTTTACAAATCCAGATTTTTTCAGAACTTCCTTATAAAATGTAAAAACGTGTTCATCATTTGAATGACACCTTGTGACTCCTGCTGGGACTATTTTAATTAAGTTTTCAGAGCAGTTCTTCACAGTTTCCTACTTTGTGCACTATGCAAGTTAATCACACGCTGGTCTTCAAGAATTACTTGACTGCATTCAAAAGATAACTTCTTTTTACATTGGTATATGAACCCAGATGTAGTAGTGCATCTGAGCAGATTTTTGAGTCTAATTGTGCGTCTATTGTTCTCTTCCTTTTGAATCCGTCAGTGCATTATTTCATACAGAGTAGACCACCGACTACTCCTAATTATACGTTTAAATACTGGAGGAACATTATGTCTATTGGAAGATTAAAAGCATGGCCGCTGCTACAGTGTGCTTTAGGACTCATTTTGTCCAAGCCTTGGTAATTATAAGAACACCTCACATATAAACTGCTAAGTTTCTGAATCTGAACTGATGTTACATAACATTTCATTTTCTACATACATGTTCAGATATAATGAATGAAGCTGCTACAGAAATGGCAAATAAATGTGTAATAAAATATAAAATAATGCTGGGTTTTTTTGTGTCTTTTATTGCCTTAACTACAGAGACAGCTGGAGATAGACAGGGAAGGGGGGCAGAGAGTGGGGATGACACGCAGCAAAGGGCCGCAGGTCGGATTTGAACCCTGAGCCGCTGCAGCAAGGACTCAGCCTTGATACATGGGTCGCCAGCTCTATCCACTGAGCTAACCGGGCACCCAAAATATAAAATAATGTTAAGGGGTTATCTGCTGGATAACCCCAAAAGAAAGAGCCAAAGTGTTGGGTTGCAGGTCGACATCAAAGAACAATTGTGATGCAACGTTTTTCACATCTATAGATCAAGGAGTCAGCACATCTTGTCCTCTTTAGAATGAAAGCCAGAAACATCGGACTGACCTAAATACAACAGTCTATAGTGAACAGTGTTTTAGTCTGTTCGGAGCACAACCAACATGAGTCCACAGGAAGATAATTTTTACCAAAGAGAGGCCTTTAACATCAACATGTCCACATGTTGAAGATCTGGCAAATACAAACTAGATAGACAGAGAATAACAAAGAAGAACATTTGGATTCAAATAAAGCAATATTTAAAAGGAACAGTCTTCTTATCTCCTGTCAAAGAGTTCAGTCGGGAAATAAAATAGCAGCTCTACTTTGGCCCAGGATCATAACTTCTGCCTAAAATATCACATTTACAATATATAACAATCAGGACTTTTAGACTTATTTCTATGACCTTTCTGGTTTGATATATTCTAAGAAGTGGAAGACGGAGACAGGTAGAGTTGCATGAGACTCACACAGCCACATTTAGTCAAATGTTTTGTTTCTGTACTAAAGTACTATTTTTAAGTATCCTCCTAAGTATTTAATTTTAATATTTTCAAAACAGGCTCATTACTTTAGTTTTAACGCATTTGGGAGGAATTCATACCAACATCGAAACCAGCGCATATTGCACACAGAAAACAACATAAAAGACGTAAAGACTAAACAGACAACAGACAAGAGTTTTTGAAGTTTTGGTTGCACGCAAACAAACGATAAATGCAGTTGAATCAATCTTTTTTTTACACAAGTATCTGTATTCATTTTTCAAAAATGTTTTATACTTTCACTCCCCTAAGTTTTTGCACCAATATTTGTACTTTTTACTCATTACTTTAGTTTTAATGTGTTTGTGGGGAATGATCGATTATCAAGATCGGTGCATATCGTGCATGACAAAAACAACTTAACAAGAGCGGGACTCTCGACCTTGATGTTTCAGTTAGCTTTGCTCAGAAACTGCCGGTAGAAATGTCCGTCAGATAAACCAAGAAGTTTACTTTTATACTTTGATTTCAGAGCCTGTACTTTTTCACTTTTACTTCAGTAAAGAAGTTGAATCAGTACTTACCAGAGTCTTTTTTTTTTAAGGGCTGAGTTACATTGGTATATGATCCCAGATGTAGTAGTGCATCTGAGGAAAAACACATTTTTCACAATTTTGTAATGGACTGTGCAGCTTTTTGAGTCTAATTGTGCGTCTATTGTTCGTTTCCTTTTGAATCCGTCAGTGCATTATTTCATACAGAGTAGACCACCGACTACGCTGAATTATACTTTTAAATATTGGAGGAAAATTATGTCTATTGGAAGATTAAAAGCATGGCAATTCATAAGGTCTGCCGCTGAACAGTGTGCTTTAGTACTCATTTTGTCCAAGCCTTGGTAATTATAAGAACACCTCACATATAAACTGCTAAGTTTCTGAATGTTTTCTGAACTGATGTTGCATAACATTTCATTTTCTACATACATGTTCAGATATAATGAATGAAGCTGCTATAGAAATGGCAGACATTGATTTAGAAATGTGTAATAAAATATAAAATAATGTTAAGGGGTTATCTGCTGGATAACGAAAGAAAGAGCCAAAGTGTTGGGTTGCAGGTTGACATCAAAGAACAATTGTGATGCAACGTTTTTCACATCTATAGATCAAGGATTCAGCACATCTTGTCCTCTTTAGAATGAAAGCCAGAAAACATTGGATCGTATCGGTTCTTTGACTTGAGTAAAGATTGTGTGTACTTCTACCACCTCTGCTTCGTATCAACTACATTTCAGACTGGAATCTTGTACTTTTTACTTCACAGATGAATATTTTTGCTGGGTTTATAAACTATAATAGATATAGATAAATATATTCAGCAGTATGTAAAATAGTTTGTACCCCATTTACCTGCTACAATGATTACATGGTAATGGCATAATCCACAATAATATAATTAATATAATAACCATTTAACACCGACATGGGCCATTCTGCCTGTATAATGATACTTTAAGTACATTTTGCTGATAATACTTTTATTTAACATTTTTAACACAAGACCTTTACTTGCAACAGAGTACTTTTACATTCTGGCATTACCAAGTCAAGAGTCTGAGTACTTCTTCTACCACTCCTGAAACTCATGCCACCCATGTTCTTTGTGACACGACACCTAGTTCCTGAGCCTGAGGAGGTTTACTTTTACTTTTGAGGGCCAAGATATTTATATTAGAGATACCAGCATATCTATAGTCAGCTATAAATAAAGAAATAGAACAAATGCCTCGACTAAAATAATCATGTGCCGTCTTATAAACTTGTTTATGTTTATATGTTCTTATGTAACCTTCTTGTTTGCATCTCCTCTGTAGTCATAGCAGAGTAAGTTTATACTGTGAAAGGTTAAACTGAGCATTTCCTACTTGCCCATCGGCGCCCTCTCCGATGTTTAATTGCACCTAGTGTTGCCGAGGTCATGCCGTTCTCATAGATCACATTTCCAGCCACCACTGGTTCACTGTGCTACATGTCACCTCGCTGTGTGCGTGCTCTCACTCAGTTATTTCTTGTGGCATGCCGGACTTGTCCCAAAGACTGAAAACAAGCAGTACTAAATCATTTCCTGAAGCAGACCACCCTCTGTGGGTCTCTTTAAAGGGACACTCATAAACACTGACCAAACCCAAAGTGACAAATATACTTTAAGGAAACTCACTACTGAATGAATTCAAGTGATGTTTCAACATAGGTGGAGATATGTCGATTATTATGCAATTTTAAAAGAATAAAAAACACTATAAAACTATATAATAGCTCCTTATCTTGTTGCTTTATATGTGTTCTTTAATGCTGTGATGCTTCCTCTGTAGAAGCAGCTTTTCAAGACACAAGCAGCACTTTCCAAATGATTCATTATTCACGTATTCACTCGTTTGTTTTTGCCACTGATGATGCTCAGAACAAGAGCACAATTACTGCTGTGAATCTGAAATCGGCTGTGCTCCTCAGATGTTAAAATATATATCTTGGAGGTTCATGTTGTGCCACAGCAAAAGCATAAACAGTTTGGGTGTGTCACTAAGTAGAGTTTAATTACAGACAAACACACCCCTCCTTCCAGAGGAGATAGGGCGTGCAAATATAGCCCACTGCCAGCTGCTACTGAGCACACTGGGTTATCTCTCCAGATTATAAACAAATGTTGTGATTCCAAGTTTCATACACAAGGACAAGAACAACAAATAAAAGGCACATATTTCAATAAATGCCTGTAATTTTCAATAACAGCCTATTCAGGGAGAAAATGCCAGTGTGAATCAATAAATAGCTTTTTCATGTGTTTTACAGTTCTCTTTTAAATCTCACAACCATTCACATACTCAAAGGGAACATTTTCTGTGATGAATATAATGCATCATAAAAGTATCTGTATGACCTTACAGTGCTGAGATGAGTTTAAAAATGCCATAAAAGTGAAGGATATACTTATAAAAATGCATTTTTCATAAAATATAACATGCATTTACGTTCATTTTTGTTACTAGTATAGTAAATAGACTATTTTCTGTGCATATAAATTAATCCCAAAGCAGTTAAGGTAACTGTTATTCATCCTAGCTTGACGTGAAATAACAGGATAAGTATCACATGTCTGCGTCTGAGTATATAGTGTGTCTATGTGTTTATGTGTGAAAGCCTGGAAGGTCGCAGCGCAGTGGCAGTGGTAGAGGGCACAGTTGGGGGGGGGGTTAATAGTGTTGATAGATTAAAACCAAATTCTTTAACAGGGTTTCGTTCCCAGCAGGATTTAGCACAGAAAACAAAAATTTCACAGCCAGAACTTTAGTAGCTACAAAGGTCAGTGGAAAGTAAAAGCAGGTCAGTGACATTACTTCAGCCTTACAGCAAATACCCAAGTTTTTCATCAATGTTTTCAGATTATCAAAATCAAAATATCTGTTATCAAACCCTCTTACCTTCCCCAGACTCTTATTCAAATGTTCCATTCCTGCTTCAAATGTCTCGCCATCCAGAAGTGTTGCTAGCGTCCAGGCTTTGGAAAAAACTCTCTCAAGACTTGAAATGGTGATCAAAGCAGATATGGAAAGCAGGATGCACACTTTTCAGCCCGTCTCGCGAAGTTCAAAGTGTATTAATGTGTGTGTGTGTGTGTGTGTGTGTGTGTGTGTGTGTGTGTGTGTGTGTGTGTGTGTGTGTGTGAATCACCCTGCAGATTTCCTTTTATAGACACATAATAGCCAGAAATAGCTTGCAGACAGCAGTCAGCCTGCTGGGCACCAGTAACAATGTTCACACTTCACACAAGCAACACAGCTCGGTATACCTGAAAAGTTCACTTGTCCACAATTTTATCACTTAAAAAAATAAAATAAAATAAACTCTCACTTCTTTTATCTGCATGAATGACTGAAAGTGTACTTTTATATATTATATATGGTCACAATATGACAGACGCCATGTTGTATTGACAAGTATCATGGCTGACTGAGCTCAGATTATAAAAAGCTATTTAAAATTTTATTGATTGGAAATAAACCTGTTGAGAGATAAGTGCCGCCATGCAGAATAAACCCTTCAGGGTCAAGCATTTGTATTTAACTTTTTTTTCCACCAGTAACAGTGACAATTACCTCATTATGATTATACCAAACATTTATTAGCATGGGTCTGTCTTGTGTGGTATAGCTGCTCTAATGACAATGCAGAAGAAAACTAAATAAAGGGATTTCTGTCTGAACTGTGTGAGGGCAGCGTTAGAAAATTCAGATTTTACAAGATTTTTAATTTTTATCCAGCACAGATTATTTTTTAATACAGAACACTGCTTTTAAATTTGTATAAATAATATAATATGTTAATTCAGCATCCAGATCCTCTAAACCCCTGCCAGCCAGCCACAGACTACATGTGACAGAGACATCTCAGCATGTTCCCAGTAATGAGTTATCAGGCAGCTTGAAAGAAATTAATTTACTTGCTTGTTTGCCGCTACATCAACTTTTCTGTTCCCTTATCAGTGAGTGAAAGCAGACCTCTGGAGTGGATGTTAATCCTTTAAGTACACTACATTCTTCATTCCTGTCACAGCTGCTCTTGTCTATTTCCACCCTGCTGCGTCCCTCCTCCTGTTTCTCTGTCGCAGCCGCACACAGGGAAAATCACAATAAGACAAAGCATTACGCCAAAACGACCACCTGTTCTTCTGGCTTTGTAATAGTATTGTCATTTTGTTTTTAATTTAGAGGAGCTCTGGATAAAAAGCATCTGACAAGGGCCTGAAATGTAACTATGTACACTTGTGAGCATCACACTTGGATCTGAAATTAGGCTTAAGCCACAGGCTAAATGATTGTAATATAATCCTGTTTCTCCCTGATAAATAGGACAGCCTCCTAATTCACAGTGTCTGTGGAAAATGCAGAAAGTCATTTCTAGCATGCAACATATGACACTTCACTAGTATTAATTTTTAGCCTTGAGGAAATTCTCTGATACTGAAACACTAAACTTGGTCTGGTGTCACCCCCATTAGTAAAGTCCAGCAGAGACTCGTCTAAGGCAATCCACTCTTTTAATGAATCGAGCCAAAATATGCAGTGTTTATTACTATGCAATGAATTATTTGTGAAATATTAAAACAAATCCCTGCACAGAGAAACAAAATAAGTGAATGGCTGATTCAAACACCTTTGAACTCTTCTCATAATTTTTGCGACTGTCAAAACAATTTCCCAGATGTGTGGACAATTATGCCGTTGGGATAATGGTAAATGCTATATAGCACAGTGAAACTGTGCAACAGTAGCAAAGTCATAAAGTTAATAAACTGACTCACACAGCAAAATATATCTGAAGTTTGCTAACTTTCCCCAAGGATCGATTTTGGTGATCCTTGGTTATGTCCTCAGGAGACACGTCATCTCTTTCCATGTTTTATACTAATGACACAGGACCAACTGATTCCTTTTTTAAATGTATTTGAGATATTAATGTAACCAAAATCTTAGTAATAGGTAACTCAGAGAGGGAAACTTGTTGGCAAAAATAAATTCCCATGGACCCTGACCACAAGCAACAAGTTAGAAACCTTGTCGTGGTCTTGAACTGAATTTTGAAGCTTATGTGGGGTTAGTCTCTAAATCTACTTTTTATCACCTCAAAAATATTGCAAAAGTGCATTTCTTTCTTTGAGTGACATTGAAACTAATGCATGCTTTTGTCTCAGTATGAACTCCTCAGATCCTCTGGCACGAGTCTGCTAGAAGTTTCAAACTGCAGAACTAAAACCTTTGGTTTAGAAATGATTTACCTTTTTTAACTTAATTTAATAAATGTAATTTTAATTAATAATTTAACTTAATCTTATCGCATTTCCTCTGTAAATTGAATTCTTAATTTATCTGAACTATTCTTATTGATTCATTTTTTTTGTTATTCTTGCCTGATTTCTTAATTTTTTTAATTTAGTTTTCAGTATAGCTTTTTGTATCTACCTTATGTGTATATATGTATGTAATAAAATCAATCATCTGTTAAGAACTGTACTAAACTGTATGAAAGGTGCAATACAAATAAAGTTTGATTGACTGAGGAGGATGCCTTTAGATAACATAATGATTCCTATATTCAGATGATTATGCACTAATGAAAACATACTTAGACATACATATTATATTCAATTTCTGTCAAAGAGCCTTTCTAAATGTTACACTCTGGAGTTTAAGTTATGAAGTTGTCAATACTTATGTGACTTTAATACATTTGCATGTCTAAAAATCACTATATTAGATTATCATCATTACATATAATTTACAAACATTGAATTAGTGAATATTATCAGTGTGGATTATATTCATTATATAAATAAATATTATTTGCCACAGATTTCGCATGACCAAACATGTCAAGAAGTCCGGTTGCATAATGTTCCCACAGTCCCAGTTTTATTACTGAATCTTCCAAATCCGTGCTCATCCTCGTCAGGTCCTCGCACTGACTTTACATCAACGCCTCTTGAGACCGGCGAAGACTCAAGTCTCACAATATGAGACCAACTGGCCAGTAATTGACTCTGAATTGAATCTCGCACACTGGATGTGCTTTCCAACAAGTTGTGTCCCCAGATTATTATCGCCCAGCAGACAGTCATCATTGCACAGCATCACTGATACAACAAGCAGCCATGTCAGTTTGTATGTGGTCAGCAGCAAGCACTCAGGGGGTGGACACAATAAAAGGAATATATGTGCAATATGGTGCAATCCAATACACCACAAATTATAACATCTCAATATCCGTCAAACCAGCACCTTTTCTTGACACACTGTCAATGACAATTGATGGAAGGTGGTGTTTTTACAGGGCTTTTACTGAATTTCAGTACAGTGCACAAGTGTTCATGTTACTCTGTTCATCCTCTGCACATATAAGTATGGTTTTGTCTGTCCTACAACATAAAGAGAAAAAAAAGAGCTTTTGGAACAATATATTTGCACTTTATTGAGAAAGTGAACACAGAACAACAAACTGTGGGAATGTAAAGGCTGTGAAAATACAAGGCAGGTATTGACATTTATAGTTGGCAAATTCTAGGCTTTGGAAGCAAGATTATAAATGATTCCAGCGAGATGTCTTGTCTCTTTTCCTTTTCATAAAGCAGTCTATAATCTCACAAGTCTGAATTTAGCTCATACAAGAGGTGTGTGAACATATGAAGCAAAGTTCAGTCTGTCTCAGGACTCTGCAGGACTCGGACTTCCTGCTGAGCACTCTGTTCAGCCATGTGGCATTTTATCTTGGTACAGGCTATAAAAAGTTTGAGGGCTTCACATTGTCATGGACGGAGACTCTATTTACCAGCACATCCATAACTTACAGTACAGTGGTGTGAAGTAGAGGTAGCCAGCAGCATTCATTGTTAATTTACTGTAGTTAACATCATGAAATGTATGTCATTTGGACAGCAGCCTGTTCATGCTTTACAGTCTCTGTTCAGTGTAGTTTCACAGGCAAAACTGTGGTTTTAGTAATAAAAATAAAGTTGTATTGTCATTTTTGCAAGTGACTTTAATATCCCGAAATACTAGCAGCAATTGAATCTGACAGACCAAAAAAAGCTTTGCAGTGACAGTAAAAAACACATTCCAGCTGTTTTTTTCCCTCGTTAACCCTGCACAGTAAGATCAATCAAAATGCATCAGTACAAAAAAATACCAAGGGCTGGCTAATAACAGTCTGCATGTATCTTTATGCTGCGGTCAAGGTGGGTAGAAAGCGCTGTCGAAACAGACATGTCTGTCAGGAATGTCAAAGTCATGTAGCGGCTCTCTGCTGGGGCTCTGTGTCAAAAGCTCCACATCTTCATCTGAGGTAGAGGGATGAGTGAGGATGATCCGAGGGATCTGTCAGATGATTGCCAGAGAAGGAAACAGGATTGGGAAGGAAAATAAGCAAGTTGTCATGTGATGTGGTGAACGCGTGCTGAAATCTCATCAGGCCATATCATTTTCAAACTAATTTTGGGGAAAGGCTAAAATAAGGTGTAAAATAATATAGAAGATAACCTATTGAGGGATGAGAATTCTGCTTACTGTCATTGTATGTTTCCCCCCTTGAAGTGAATCATTTTTCATCAAAGCCTCTGCCTCCAGTTCAGACAAGGTCCTATTGAGGTCACTCTCTAAATCAGGCTGAAACACAGGCTGAAATACAACAACACAACAAAACAACAACAAGAAACAAGACAAGAGAAAAGTAGTGTATAAGACTTGACTGTAGATTTTTAATCCACAAATGGCTTGAGGCGCGTTCCAAAACAATGGTAAAATTTAGAAATTATGTTTGAGCAGTGATTTGAGTAAACCACCCACAATGCCGTTGCCGTTACAGACGACCGCCTCAATCTTCTTGGACAAACAGTCTTCTGCGCTCTCAATCATCGGCTGTTTGCTTCTCTGGACTCCGCCATCCTGGCTGCACAGCTGTCGTCCCGTCACGTCCTGAGGAGCCTGAGCCGCATTCAGGTCACACACCTCTCGTGGTAGCAGCCTTTCTCTGAGAACTTTCATCTTGATGCAGCTCCCAGCATTCCTGAGGGCACTGACCGCCTCGTGGTGGGTCGCCCCCTGCATGCTGATGCCATTGACCTGGATGGACCATGGTCACATTATACTTTCAGGGGCAAGTGAAAGTAGGAGGTCAGAGGTGGGGGAGCAGCACAAGTTCTCTAAAAATAGCCACAGCCACTACAGGCACTGATTGAAGGATTTTTCCAATCAGCTTGAATCTGAACTAAACTGATTTTGAATAGTTATTTGTTTGTTTGTATTCGCTTTCTATTCATCAGCCTCAGTGGCTTTATCACTGAAGGAAGGCCCTGCTGAGTGTTCTCTGCTGGTCTTATAATGCCCTCCATTGGTCACAAGAGGAACACCAGCAGGAAGGAAGCAGTATGGTGATTATAGAGATATTCTTACAGCCAATATAAAGTAAATGTGTGATTTAGATTCAGTCAACAACATTTCACATGCTGGGTTGTATATCTGACAGTCAGCGTATAAGAAATTATGAACAAAGATTACAAACGTGAAGAATGATTCCCTGCCTACCTCCAGCAATCTATCTCCAACATGGATTCCTGCCTTTTCTGATGCCCCTCCTTTATTTACTCTGGAAATAAAAATGCCCTGAAAGGAAATAAACACATTAAATCATGCAATGATGTGTTCTCTGTTGGTAGATTAGTTCAAGTTGAAAACAAAGGTAACCATCAGTCGTTCAAGGCAGTTGCTTCTCATCATTATTCAGTCAAATGAGCAAAAATATGTTTCAAGAGATTGAGCAATGCTGGCTCTTCTGCAGCTGGACTTACCTCATCGTGGTCTTTGTAAGGCAGAGAGCCTTTCCCACCAGCAATGCTAATTCCCAAACTGCCCCTCTGGCCAGACACTTTGATCTGTAACTGAGAGAAAATTGTTTCATTACAAATAAAAAGCTAGAATTTATATGCAATTTACAGCCTGAGAGGAACACAGTTGGCAAACAGAAATTGGATTAAAAAATAATTTGCCACAATCAATACGGTTTCCTGCAGCGCATAGTGCAAACCCCGCAGAGATAATTTGGCATTTAAGAAAGATACAATGTGCAGTTACTCTTAATGGCACTTGGGAGATGAGTGATTCCTGAGGAAGGGTCTTCTCTGTCACCAGAGAAGACTTCAGATGCCCTGTGATGGATGAGATCTTTATGTTGTGGACAGGGTTTCCATGGAGACCGGACCCTGCATTAAGAGCTTTGTGATGCTGAAATTTCCTCCCTTCTCTGGTTTCACATCTCTGATGGTGAAACCGACGCAGTGAGGCGTCGCTCTCTGACAGCTGGCCTGCATGACCCTGGTGATGAGAAATGTTTCAATGCTTTTACTGTCCATCTGCAAGATGCATCAGCAGACAAACATTTCCTTTTGAATTCACTCACAAGACATTAGCCAAATGACATACTGTAAGAGGGTGAAACAAAGTTAAACAAACATCTTCTCAGATAGAGTTTCTTCGCGTATATGATATCTAAACTGGAAAACAGACCTCCTCAAGTTGCTCAAGTTCCTCTGCGTCCTTCTCTGCGCTGGAGAAGCGACCACACATACTGTCGCTGGCTGGGAACAGTTGGGGTCCTGGCTGCTGACAATCTTTGTTTGCCACCCAGCCGAAGCCTGGGATGGCCCAGTTTTGGCTACTGGTCCTGAGGGACGGGTTAGTATGAGGATTTCTACACTCCTGGAGATAGTCAGAAGACACCAGCAGTTGCTGAAAATGTTATGTCATTGTAATATATTGAAGAAAATAGCTAGTGACAGTGATGGATCAGTGGCGAGTAAGTTTTATGAAACCATGTCCCAGACATAAAGTAAAAGCAGCCCAATCTTGTGCTATCCAGTAGAGCAGCTGATTAATCGATGTAGCTAAGAATCCTGTTTGACTGTTCATAATGCATGCTTATTTTGCGCACCAGAAACAACCATTACTGCAGAGTGTAATTGCATTACCCTCACTGATACAGCTATTTCCAAGACCAAAAAAAAGATAGAAGCTGGATCTCCAAAGCTTCATTTGTTTGTCTCTTTCTCTGCCTTCTGAAAACATGTATCTTCTGATTGGATCTTGAGGAGGCAAAGAAAGAGAGTGAAGGGTGGCGTCATGCTTGAAATGCATTGTAGTCTCACTGAAGAAGCTTCCATTCAAAAAATAATGGAAGGTCACCTAAAGCACGATTCAGTAGGTGAAACTGAACGCCAGTAATAGCTCTTTAATAAAAATACCAAGGCCTTACTGATTGTGGATACTTTCCAGTAAATAATCATCTTCCAATGCTTAATCAAAAATGTACAAAGAGATCCAAATGAATGTCCACTTGCCATGAACATTAGCATCAGAGCTACAGACCGGGATAATGCATCATTATAATGTAGTCCTCAGATTTAGTTTCACAGATATATACATATATACAGTCACTCTCTAATATACTAAAGTCAGTACAACATTTAGCACGTGCAGGGTACATAGGTCAAATATGGCACATGCTGGCAGAGCATTACAGCAACATCATGCACTGCTGGACAGACAAAACAAGCAATGGAGGGGTCAGGAAATGGAATATCTGGTTTATTGCCTCAAAGCAAGCCAGCTTAAGTCTGAGCTTACATTTTCAATATATAATTTTTGGATATAGATAAGACCACACCAAATCTTGTTTTTAAATCTGGCATTTAAAGGTTAGGTAAGTTCAACTCAGCTGAGATGACATTTATTTGATATTCTCTTTAAACTCAACAGGCTGAAATTAAAATTAAAAAGGAATAACAAACATGTTGTTTAGTGTTGCACTCATTTTATTGATCAGTGGTTAAAAAGTCATCAAAATCTCAAGGCACAGTGCCAATTCGAGATCCGTTTTGTGCAGTTTGATCATAAAATAATTAAGAACATAAAAACCAACACTTGAACCAATTTCTCTGGTCCACTTTTGCAATCAATTTAAAAACAAAATAATACAATTTATCATGTACCATGTAAAAGGATTTGAGAAACGCTGAGAAGTGCATTAAAGTGGAACTTCTAACAACTAAATTTTTTATAGGATGCCATCCATGTGGTACGAACCTCATTCTCACCAGTATTCTATACAGTACTCTTAGTTAAAGGGAAAGAAAACAGCTGTTTTTGGCATCTATTTGAAAAACATTGCAAAGCAGTGAAGCACATATAAATAAGACAGCATTGTTACTTCTGCATAATTACACTGCAGATGAGTGATTAAAGTTTGATGTGCAGTACTTAAATCCAAACTTTATTAATTAATCAAATCTATTTATTATTCCAAAAAGTAAGTCTAGATGTTTAACAGGGTCCAAGGCCAATGACAATTATATGGATTGAATAAGACATTAGTGACTGCGTTTTGTTCATTGCTTCGATTAAGAAAGGAAAAAAAAAGAAAAAGAAAAAGTACCAAGAAAAAGTTTAAAAATCTGCAACTGATTAAGAAATTTGCTATACATTTTTATTTACATCCGAGCTGCCAAAAAGTATAAAAGTATCAATATTCACAAGAGACTATACAATAATCAGTAGGTCCAAAAACTCCTGCTTTTATATTTGCCCAAAATGTAAAAAGAAGTATTCACCCAGTGTTTTGAAAATAGATATAGAACAAATATATAATACATTTACGAAGGTTTGAGCATATTATAAAGACTTATAATAGTGCAACTACCCTATGTATATTTTTAAAAAGGAGGCATTTAAAAAAGTAATAAATCTTTAAAATATATATATATATTTTTTTTTTTAAAGGAGCATCTCTGTGCAGATTATTGCTGTGGACATTAATTAGTCAAAAGAGGAGAAGGCACAGTGGCCCTGATAGACTGAGTCAAACACGTTTTTACACAGGGCTGGAGATGGAGTAAGGTTACAGGCGTCCCGGGGTTTAATCAGAGGAGGGGTAGGCCACACCGGGGAGTTCGTAGGTAAAAGAAAAAAAGGGGGCTGCGGGGGTTTGTGCAGGACAACACGGCGAGACACAGGAGGTAAAAAAAACCATTTCTGAGGTAAAAGGTCACACAGACGTGGTCACTCTGTCTGCAGCGTTATTGACCTCGTTTTTGTTGGAGTCCAGGCCTTTGGCAGCGTTCAGGTCGTTGCGGAGGTTCTCGGCTGCTTTCTTCATCGTCTTCAGCTCGCCGGGGTGAGGCGTGGCTCGTCTAAGTAGTGTTCCCTTGTGAAGGAAAACAGATTCACGTTTAGATACATTTGTTGTTGGTGTCGTCTATCAGTCCGCCACTTTGACCCAGACTGAAATATCTCAAAATACAGACTTTTATGGTCCTCAGGTGATAAAGCCTAGTGACTTTGGTAGTATCCTGACATTTCCTCCTTGGCCATCATGAGGTTAATATTTGTGGCTTCAGAGTAAAATATCACTTATACCAGGTGGATTGCTATGTTTGCCCTCAAGCTTGCCAGTCTCACCTTGTCATCATCCTCCTCCTCATCGTCATCCAGGAAGTGAATGGCACTGATCCTGTTCACTGCTTTGTTGTCCCACGTGTCATCTGCCATGTCATTCACCAGGCTCTCCAGGGCTCCACAGCGGGCGAGATTATCAGAGCCTGGGGTTGTTTTTTAAAAAGAGACAACACATTTTGTATTACTGAAATTCATGCACCCGTCAAAATGCTCCGATAGAGTTACAGAGTGAAAGCTGAAGTGAATATTTCAGCAGATTAAAATCAATATTGTTGTTATGATTGCTTCTCTGCAATCTGCCAACTCAAGAAATGAAAGCTGTCACATAACCCAGAGCCTGAAACTGCCAGATCACAGTTTCAAATCCCAGCTTAGTTACAGGCTTACAGCAACACAATCTTCCCTGCCCCCAACCTCAGCTTCAGCCTCACTCATCTGACCTCCAGCGGTCTTATATCTGCATCTTCCCCACAGGAGAGACAGCACGTCACTAAAATTAATGAATGAATGCGCGGTTTCTTTATCAAATGCAGACTACAGTGACAAGAACAGAGCAATTATTATACAGGGAATCACAAATACTTTATTACAATAACCTGTTGTATCAGGCAGAGATGGAGTCGGCCTCAGTCTCATATCTATACCCAGTGGGTGAGCTTTTAATGGCAGCAGGCCAGCCGCTGCTAAGCCTCTTTAGCTGTCCAATCCACTGCATTTCTGAAAAACATAACCAAGGAGGGCCTCAAGGGACAGAAGAGGCCCTGATCTGTTATCTGCGCTGTGATCTCTTACAGGACCTCATAAATCGACAGATACTGCAGGGAAGGATCAGCGGGCCCGGAACGTAGCGTGCTTCCCCGAGCAGATCATCTGATAACGACATTAAAAAACCGCGGGGCACTAAATACTCGGAGACGATGCAAGAACTGATGAGGAATATTACTCAAATGTTACAGTGTTGGCACCAAGTCATTTCACTCTGGGAGAAGTCGGACACAAGAACCAAAGAGGCACTGATCTGCTTGGATACAAATGCAGATGCATACAAATCGTACACATGCAAAGAAACCCTGTTCAGGAACACATATACAAAGATAGACATGTATAGATATAGTCACTGCACCTGAAAAAAAAAAAGATGATTCACGATGGTTATTCAAAACGTGAGGATTATCTTCCAGTTGATGAAAAACACTACCTTTATTGTCTGAATTACATGGCTGTTGAGGCAGCAGCACACAGGTGAGCACCTTCTCGCCTGAGTCAGGATCCTCGTCTGTCTGAAAGGTGAGGAGAGGCTGCGACTGGTTTTCTGACAACCATAAGGCCTTCAGTCGTAGCGTGGTCAGCGACATCGGTAAGTGAACGAGCCTGAAAACAAACAAAATATAAATCACTAACAGGCTCATATCATATAGGATTTAAAGACACAAGATACCAGCAGATACCTGGATTAGTACTTGTGTCACGTTAGGATGAGTTTAGTTGTTTTGACAATGTGGAAGAGGAGGAACGCTCTCCAGACACCGAGGTGAACAAGTTTGTGTGTGACTAAAGCAGCAGACATTCCTGTAGCTGTCTCTTGGACCAAAACAGGTACTGACATAGAAACTCAGCCAAAACAACCTCTGACTGACTGTGAGTAATATGGTCAAAACATCAAGGTAATCTTTAGGCCTAGGAAAGTAGATAACGTGTAAAGTTTGATAAATCATTATCAATACTATGTACTCACAAAGTCTTCAAATCACTTGGGGCACAATGTGTTTTTACTGATAAGGTGGTGTTCACGCCTCTCTGCCACCAAGAGATGAGCGAAGAGAAGATGTGAGTGTGCTGTTCAACAAACCTATTTCCAGAAACGTCGAGCACATGCAGCTCTGTGGCTTGTGACAGCTCTGACGGTATCCTCGTCAGTCTGTTCTCTCGTACACAGAAGACGTTCAGACCGCTGCATCCCCCAATCTAGGTATCAGAGGAGACATCATGATTAGGATGCATGTCAGCCACAGTACAGGTGTCATGTGAGGCAAATAATATATTGTATAGGCAGACATTGTACTTTTTTAACAAAGCCAGAACAAAAGAAACCAGGGTTAATTTGTTGTCAGCATTTGGGCACTTTGTCCCACAATTGGTGTTGCAGAGCAGTTAAATGTCAATGAATGTGACAGAGGGACCTAAAATTAGGAACAATTAGGCCTAGTAGCCAGTCAAAGCAGAGACTTGATGGGCCAGCTAAACTGCAGTTGTAATCTATTAATCTGCTCAGACCTGAGCAGGATGTTGTTACAGAGATTCATCATGCTAAAAGGTTAAGCTCATCATTTACACAAGTAAATATGATCGGTGCTTATTGCTTGCATGATATCAGACAGAACTGTCAACTTGTCACGGCCAAAATACCGAGGGCACGGTGAGTCTGCCGCACAGTGTGTCCATGTTAATCAACAGGGAATTGCACTGCTTGTCTTTATTTTTATGCAAATGCTCTATTTTTTTTCCTCTCTTCGTGCCTCCAACAGGTAACTTTGTGGGTGTTTTTTACATTTCACATTAAAATAGAGCAGATCAATGTGTGTCCATGATCCTGTAGTTAAAACAGGATGAAAACCCTGCATAACCAACTGCATTATCACTTGGCAAAACCATGCACACAGTAAAGGTGGCATGCAACCACGTGTCTGTGTTCGAAGGTTAAAAAAAACCCTGCTCCGCCCTGCGTATATGACACACCACGTCTGTGCCACATGTATTTCAGCAGTTACACTCTATTTCCATCTTTAGTCTAACATCACTTCCACTCTAACTTCTAAATTTCCATGGGGGAAGAGGATTTGATTTTCCCTAACCAATCATGCATGCATGAATCATTTTAAGATCAGACTGATGTGTAGCCATGCCAGCATACTGGCTCTGCCGGATTTTTAATTTTGAGAATACATGCCTTCTATGAATAGCCTTGATAATAGTGTCTATCTTGTCTATAGCGGTCGCCATTGTTGTTATTACTCCTTTGTTTCAGCGTACATCTTGCCAACAGCTTGACAGGCATTAGTCCTGCCTGTGGCACTGATTAGCTAATCGTTAGTCGCTCATCGGATTGTTTTTTTTTCCACCCGAGAAACCATTGTTTCATGACATGATAACCAAAATCAGTCAACTCGGTAGAGTGTGTGGATCCAAGATCAGGACCAAGGCAAGCTTACTGCATTTCCAAAAGGAAATAGATTCATCAGT